AAATAAAATGTTTAGGGCTGGATTTACAGCTCAGTGATAGAACACATATGAGGCACTGGTTTCAATCCCCAGCACTACAAAAGTTATAAATAAACAGTTTATTAAAAAGAAAAAAACAAAGAAGTCATTACATGAAAGGCTGACCTGAATGTTGAGAGGTCCCTCTGGAATTACAGTGTGGAAAGCATTACACAGAGATTCGGATACACACACGTACACAAATAATTTATTTTATGTGTATATTATTCAAAGATGAATAAAATTGCAGAAGCACTTAAATTTTCATGAGACATTATCTAGGCCACAGGCACCATCTAAAGTCTGTTTTTCTTGCATGCTCAGTTGAAAAAAGCGGGACCTCACTCAACCAGCAGCCCTGGAAGCTGGCTGAGAGCCAGTCAGGCTCCTCACAAGGGGGGAACTGGCTACGGTGCCAGCAGGCTCCTGAGTTCAGACTGGATCCACCCCCTAAACTCTGACTCCTTAAAGCAACCAAAATGTAATGTCAATCACATGTCATTTAAAACTTTCTAGGAGCTACAATGTAAAAGCAGAAAGACAGGTGAAATCAGCTTTAGTAACATTTTTAATTTATGTAGTATTTAGCCTAATATATCCAAGTATTTCACATTTCATGTAGACATTACAGTTCTACAGCACGGACTTTAAGCACAATACAATATTCAGAAATAAAAGCAGATTCTTTTGATTCTCTCTCTACGTTCACTGTGATAAAGCAAGAGATAATCCTGTAACAACGTTCACCCACATGTAGCTTTTGAAATGGTCTCCTCAATCTTTCAGGGCACACTACAGCTAATCTGATAGACTAAATATTTCCATCTAGAAGACATTTTTCTTGCCCCACTGCTTTTACTTTTTCTCTTTGAGTCCCTCTTTGATATCTTGAGTTCAAAGTCCAATTCCAATTTCCTGTCCAAAAACCCTTGAGCAGTCACTTCTCTTCAATGCAGCTCTTCATCAAGAGAATCAACCTCATTTAGGTAGGTTAGGCACAAACTGCAAACAAGGACTGTGGCCCCGGGCTCCTCTAAGAGACAAAGTTGGAACAGTTGGTCCCAGCTACTTCAAACCACTGTTTTCAGCAGTAGCAGGGATATGAATAAGAGACTTACTTAGCACAGACCTCTGCGTAAGAACTATGCTAAGGCGTTACATGCTCTATTTCATTTGATTTGTATTCAAACACTGTATGGTTAAAGCTATTGCCCCATTCACTCCTGTTCTACAAATGGGTGTGGCAGGTGGACAGAATCAAAC